CCTGCTTGGAGTCTCTGCTCAGCAAAAGAAGGTGGAAGCTCACAGAGGTACCAGTGACTCTCACCTAGACAAAGCAGCCTGGACAGCCTCCTTAGGCCACAGAGTCTGTTATGTCTCAGCACATACAGCCCAACAGGGAGGATGCAACCAGAAGCACAGTGTATGAGAAGAGTGGGTGCCTCAGTCTAGGTCTCTTCCCACTGTTTCTCTAAAGCAGGCCTTTTCCACTCCAGCCCTACAGATGTTTTGGGCCAGATACAGACTGACCTGTGCAGTGTAGGGTGCTTAGTTATATCCCTGGCCTCTGCCCCTCTCCTTTCAGTAGCTCAGCCCCATCATGACAACCAAAACTATCTCCAGACAAAATCGGCTCCAATGAAAACTTGCTTTAGGGCCACACTACAATAACACACCCACTGTTATCTGTGGCCTTGGCTGACTGGTTTCCTGGTCCTCTGTGGAGTTCAGTGATGCCAAGGCCTTCAGCACCACCTCCAATCAGACCGTCCACCCCACCAAACTATGCACAACCTGAGCCAGACACCCAAGAGCATAAGAAGAAGACCATCCCTTCCACCGACATGATAAAGCTGAGAGTCATATGTTTATTTTGGCTCAAATCTTGGGCTCCTGAAATGCTCAATGCTAGCCAAAGTAAAGAAAGCAGTCTTTTCTTTTTCCTGAAGTGAATGAATGCATTTGAACTGAAAATGAAATTACACCAGTGAAACATCTGGCTTTAAATTTTTATCACAGTATTGCCATTTTTCCTATAGTCATCTTTTCTATGGTGAAAGTGTGTAGTCTTCAGGGAAATACGCTTAGTCATCATTTAAAAACGTAGTGTTCCTAAGATGGGCACCAGTGGCTAATGCCTGCAAATCCGGAGGTTCAAGGGCAGCCCAGGCAAATAGTTTGTGAGACCCTACCTAAAAAAAAAAAAAAAAAACTAGAGCAAAAATGAACTGCAGGTGTGACTCAAGTCGTAGAACACCTGCTTTGCAAGTTCAAAGGCCTGAGTTCAAACCCTAGTCCCATACCACACACACACACAATCCTACGTTCCTTTTGAAATATGTGTATATATTCACAGTTGTAGTGGTTCGAGAGTTACTCAGCTGCTTTTTGCCCTAACAATTCTGTTCCCTCATAAACTCCAGGTGGCATTTTTGCATTCTACATATAGTTCATACTACTTTGATACATAAATAATGAGTTTATATTTGAAAGATTATGAACTTTATTCGTGTCTGTGTTATTGGTATCAAAATTAGATCATTGCAGAAATACCTTTGGACAGAATGTAGCTGCTGTCGTTGTGTGTCTGGGTTCTGGTGACCTGCATTTTAAAAACTCTTCCTGTATACCGACAGGATGGGTAGCTGCATATTACCTTGTTTTACTCTAGAGTTTCTGACCTCTATGCAAACTGCTGAATAGAATTTAGAACCCCAAAACAATCACTGAACCTAAAATAGGATCTCCTTATTTTAACACTGGGAAATGATGCCAAACAACTACTATTGTACCGATCTTACACCAGGAGAGAACGAAGTCTAAATTGTGGCCTTTTTTAACTAATTAGTATGAAGCATTGCTTTACAACCATGTCTCATTTTTTTCAAGTCTAATCACATGAATATAGTCACATGCAAAAGGAGCCTCTTTGTGAAAGATATAATATATATATATATATATTTGTAATTTCACGTTATTTTGCTGTTCATTGAAGATTTCTTTTAAGAAATAATATCAGCCACCAGGTGCAGTTAATCCTAGTTACTCAGGAGGTGGAGATCAGGTAGGATCCTGGTTCAAGGCCAGTCTGGACAAACAGTTCTTGAGACCCCCATCTCAACCAACAGCTGAGCTTGATGGTGCACATCTATCATCCCAGCTGCACAGGAAGCACAAGTAGGAGGATCCGAGTCCAGGCTAGCCCAAGCCAAAAGGCAAGACCCTATCCCAAAAATAAGCAAAGCAAAAAGGGCAGGGGGTATTGCTGAAGTAATAGAAAGCCTGCCTAGCAAGGGCAAGGCCCTGAGTTCAAACCACAGTACCACCAAGAAGAAGAAGGAAAAGAAGGAGGAGAGGAAGAAGAAAGTAGAAGGAAGAAGAAGGAGGAGGGAGGGAGGGAGGAAGAAGAAGGTAGAAGACAAGGAGGAGAAGGAGGAAGAAGAGTATTCTTGATCACTGTTAAGAGAGTAGATTTTTAAATGTTCTTGCCACAAAAAAGATAAGTATGTGAAGTAATGCCCGTATTAATAAGCCTTCCTCAATGTATACTTGTTTCAAAACAACGTGTTGGATGTGATCAATATACACAACTTTTATTTGCCAATGAAGCAATTTTGGACTACAGAAATGTTTGGAAGTTTATAATTTAACATTTTTTTCCTTGCTTTTCTTGTTTTGCATGAGCATGTAAATGCTCTGTAGAGAAATGCTGTGAATAGCCACTTGGCCATCACTAGATGTGGGCAAGTTTGACATGACACCAGCAATAATAAAATCTGCTTTTAATAAATGATTACTTTGCTCTATGCTAAATTTAGCACTTTGCCAAGTTATGCTCATTTATTTTTGGTGTGTGTGGCTTTCCAAGTTAATTTTATTTTTAATTGACAGAGCATAAATGTATATATTTATTCATATATTATTTTATGTACTCCTCAGGGGGGCATGAGTTTACTAAATATTTATGTTCATAATTGTCTTCAGATTACATTTTTTGTCTGTTATCTTAGTCTCAGTGTCTTGAAAATAGCTTATTGCTGAAAAGTCCATAGTCTGACAATCAGTGTGGGTTGGTGGATCCAAAACTTTGCTGGATTTTATGGGTAAAAGGAAAATATAATACTACTACTAAAAGGAAAAGGAAGAGGAGGAGATGGGAAAAGGGAAGAAATAAAGGAAGATAAGGTTTTAGTACATTATCTTGAAATCTCAGTGAGGCCATGTGAACTCGGGAAACATGGAACAAGTAAGAATTCAGTACCAGGCAATATGTAGCCAAGGGTAGATTGCGGTAGTGTATTGTAGGAATTCAGAATTGGGAAAGACCTGAAACTCCAGGCAATGGAGTTATTGCAGCCTCGTAGGAAGTTAGGGGTGGATTTGGCCTTAGATGGATGATTAGTGGATGGCTAGTGACGAAAAGATGATGTCTCAGGTGTCCAAGGGTGAGGAGAGTGCTAGAGACAAGAAAGGCTTCCCGTGTGATACATACAGGGGATACAAGAATTTTTCCTGCAATTCTGACATCATGTCATTTACATGTTTTAGGAAAAGAATATTGATTGTATTCCTATTCTTTCTGATATAAAGTCAGAGAGCAAGAGAGTTTTCTGAAGTGGGAGGGAGCATAACTTCAGAGATAGTCTGAGAAGTCAGTATACCTGGCATTCATTTAAAACAGTCTGTTGTCCATTCTTCCATAGATATGAGAAAACTAAAAGGTTATGGTTTTCTTATTTATTACCTTACTTCAAAGCTTATTACACAATATTTTGCCATACAAAAGAGGATTGCAAGCTGGGTTTGCTGGCACACAGTGTGGCTGCAGATATGCAGGCAGGTGATGCAGGAGGATTGCCTGAGTCAATGAGTTTGAGGCCAACTAGGCAACATACCAAGAACCCATCTCAAAATAAATAAATAAATAAATAAACTATCAGCAAACTCCTGCATATAGTAAGCCCTCCTTACTCGTGAATTTATTACAAGTGGTTCTGACCAAGCAGTCAAAAAAAATAGTAAATTAAAAAATCAAATTTCAAACCCCAAAATTTTAAATTCTCACACACATTGTGCAGCTCAGTGGGTGCAGAGACACTCTGAGTCAGTCCCTCATTACCCTCCGTGTGTTTAAATCATTGTGTGATCTGCTGAGTGTTTCCCTGCCCTTCATCTTGTGAAAATACAGTATGCCTCCCAAAAAGCAAATGGTGAAGTGAAAAAGAGGCAATCTGAGATTTTGCTGACAGGGGACATGTCTTCAGAGGAAGTTGAGCAGTGGTATGGGAAAAATGAATCAAGCATCTGAAGTAGTAGAGATAAAGAGCATAAAATAAGATTAGTTTTGGTGAGCAGTACTAACGTACACAACAGTAATTTTGTGACAGTAATGAAGTCTGCTCCATGTGGTTTCAAGTTGTGATTGCTCAGGCCTCCTGAACGTATGGTACAAGTAAGTTTGAATGGTCCTAGAGGACTGAACTCTGCATCTGAGCATTCTTCAACAGTGGGCTCCTTGGAACCAGACACCTGTGGATACCGAGGGTCTACTGTGTTTTGCTTGTTGGTAGTATATATTTCTGGACACCTTTCTGAATTGACATTCTTCATCTCAATGATTTCAGTCTATGTTAGTCAGGCTTCTATTACAATAACAAAAATGCCTGATATAATCAACTTAAAAGAGGAAAGGTTCACTTTGGCTCACAGTTCGGAGATTTCAGCTCATGGTTGGCCAGTTGCTTTTCAGCCTACGGGGAGGCCGTTGCCTCACTCCTAGTAGAGTGAGCTGCTCACTTCATGGAAGCAAAGAGAAAAGGAAAGAGCCTAGTGTTCCACAGCGCCATTTAAGGACATGCCCCCAATGGGGACGTTCTAGATCCAAAGACAACCTTTTTTTTCTTTTTTCCACATCTCTTTCCAACTTTTTCTTTCCTTCACTCCAGGTGATACCCTGCCACCATCTCTCATTGTGTAGAGTATTCTAAGGAGAGGTGAACATGGGAGGGATTTGTGTCAGAATCCCAAAGAGTACCATGGGCTATGTAAGGCTTGAAAGTTCCCCTTAGAAGGTTGCTATCTCCTTCTCCTCGTGCCCTTTGCGGTATGAGTGTTTTAAATTCTATGCCTACTTTATATTTTTCTAGGGTATCATCAATATACTACCTATTAATAAATTAAGCTCTCAATCTTCAGTAATTCATTTTAAAGCCTTTTTCATTTCTTTCTCTGTCCTCCACCCTTTTTTAATTTTTATGTTTTAGATCCCAAAGTCCAGGAGTGAGGGATCTATTCAGGCCTATAGGATACCACAACCAGAGCTGTCTGATGGCGTTCCTCACATCAGCCTGAGGCTAAGTCGGAGGAAACCCTGCTTGGATGACATGAATTCGGCAGAGGAAGCTGGTGGTGCCACGTTGGTATTCAGGTTGGCAAGTTTCTTTATCTATGTAATACAAGTTCCATTATCTGCTCTGATCGGTAGTTCCAAATATCTAAGCGTGTCTACATGTATCTACCAATGGGATCAACAGTATGGATGGATGGACGATGCATGGATGGGTGGTAGGTGGGTGGGTGGATAAATGGATGGATGGATACATGCATACATGCATAAAATATTTTAGATCCATGCTAAGTTTTGATAATTATCACAGAAGAGATGAGAAGTTATTTTGTTTTTGTCTTCTGGATTGAAATATATTATTTTACTAATAGGACTATGCTGAGCTCACAGTTAATGTTGAAGTATTATTTTTGGATGCCTTTTCATAGAATATTCAGTTAAAATATCATCTGCAATTGAAGTCAGAGTTGTCACTAGAATTTACTCTTTTAAATTAATTTTGAATGTTGCTTTTAATCCATCATGATGTTACACATTGTACCTGAATGCAAACTCTTCTGATAGGCTTGAAGAAAAAGATGTGCAATTTTCATACAGTGGTACCTGAATGTTATTTTCTCCTAGCATATAGAATTTTTCCTTTTAAGAATTTTTTTATGTTTTATGATAACTTATAAACTATTTCTAAAATTTAAAAATTCTGTTACAAATATTAGAGAGCTCTAAGGGAATTTTCAACTATTCAAAACATTAAACAGATAAATGGTACAATTAAGGAGTTTGCCACTTTGGACTGCTTTAGAGAAGAGATGAAATTTGAGCTTGAACTTAGAACATGATGACAGTTCAGATAAGAAGGAAAAGAAGACCAGAGTATGTAGATAGGTCCATTTAGAGGCACAAGGGGGTGTTTTGGGAATAGCAAACCAGTTAGTTAGAGATAAGCTAGAAAGAGAAGAAGGTTGGGCCATCCAGGACCTGGATTGCAGACTGTATTTTTCCATTCAGTTTTTCATTCATTGAAAAAGTGTTTGAAGGTCACTCTCAAGTTCTGGGAATTGTTTTAAAGCAGGAGATGCCTCAGTGAGCAAAACCAATCAGGTTGCCACGTTTATGAACGTGACAGCTCATGGGGAAGGCAGTGAAGTCACACAGTAGGCCAATGATGAAGAGGATTTCAACTGTAGGAGTATTAAGAAATTACAACAGGACAGACTGACTCAAAGATCATTTTTAGTTTGAGGGGTTAGAGGAAGCCTGGGCTGAAACAGGAGGAGGAGGAGGTCTGCGTGGATCAAGGAAAGAGCTTCCAGGCAGAGGTTAGCAAATGCAAAAGAACTGAGGCAGGAGGCACCCAGCTTCATCCTCTAGGCAACAGGAAGTCAGTGAAGGTGTGAACTGGGCAGAGAAGGTGATGGGAGCCAGGACAGTTGCTTTATTAGGAAAAGTGTTCTTCAGGAGTGTGCTGGATGCACTGAAGGAGGGAGAGTGTGACAGCAGTTACAGTGTTACGGTTCCTTCCACAATACTAATCTTTACTGAGTTCTAGTTATGTGACATTGCCTGGAGAGACGTAAGTCCTGCTCACAGGGAAACAGAAGACAGGTGACTAAAAATTCAGTAATTATCACCATTATGTACCAGGCTCTGTGAAGTAGGCTGCTGACAAAAAATTATGGGTAAGATTTAGGTGCTTCTCTTAAGAAAGTTCAAATACAACTCCCAGGTGCTGTGTGAGTCAGAGGAGGATCCAGGCCAAGTGAAGAGGTAAGGGTCTTAGGAGGTTTTAAACTAGCAGGATTAGTAGTTTATTGGCCAGAGAAATACAGGTAAGGATGCAACACATGAGGACATGTAGAGCAGTGAGGACAACTCAGAAGTGAACTTGGAGGGCCACAGTGGCTCCTGACAGCTAATGTAGAATGTAGTGGGGGGAGGGTGTGACAGTCAGCTTTCCACTTACTGTAACCAGTACCTGAGATGAATCAACTTTTAAGTACGAAAGGTTTGTTGTGGCTCATGGTTTCAGCCCATGATTAATTAGCTACCTTGCTTTTGGGCTTCTAGCAAGAGAGGACATCATGGCAGGAACATGTAGCAGAGGAAACTTCCCATCTTATAGTAGGCAGGGGGCAAACAGAAAAAGGAAGGGACCCCATTATCCCCCATTGTAGGGCATGCCCCCAATGGCCTAACTTCCTTCCACTAGGCACTACTTTCTAAAGGTTCATCACCTCCCAACAGCACCCCAAGTTGAGGGCCATGCCTTCAAAATATGCCCCTAAGGGGCTGTGACAACATACAGAAGTAAGGACAAAGGGAACAGTAAGTAGTGTTGGGAAACCAGCAAGGTGGTCACTGGGGCAATCCAGTGCAGAAGAGCCTGCTTTAAGTCACTGGTGTTTACTGAGAATGAGGAGGTATGACATGTCTGTCCCCTAAAGAGAAAGGGTTTGTTTTGTTTTTTATCCTTATTTTGTTTTGTTAAGGAATTAACATATGGTAATGAATGAAACATAGGCAAATTTCTGCACTTAGTGAGCAGAGCCAGTGGAGAAGAAGAAGTTAGTGTTGCAAAGCCAGGAGATGAAGGACCTGCCAGAGAAAACCCAGGGACAACAGAGGAAGAAGGTCACAGCCCATAGAAATTAGCTTGGACAGTGAGGAAAAGTTAAGAACAGAATACAGGCTCAGGTACAAAACACAAAGTCTTCTAAAAGTTTTCTTCTCTAGTTTAAAAACCAGGGTCAAAGACTAGGGGCTCTGCTTAAGTGGTAGAGTGATTGCTAGGCAAGTTCAAGGCCTTGAGGTTCCATCCCAGTCCTGCAAAAAAAAAAAAGCACAATCAAGTGGCTGGTCAAAAGAGCGTTTGTAATGTTACCTTACCAAATCAGTTTGTAAAGAATAGTCAAGAATGCCTAGCATGAAAATAAAAATAAAAATTCAAATGTTTGTTATAGATACCATTTTTATTTATCCAGTCATAAAATGAAGAAAAAAAATAGACTCTTACTTCTAAAGGTAGCAAGAAAAGATCTTTGTATTTGTATCTGGAGAATGAATTTGTATTTCAAACCAAGAAGAAAGATTCTGGATGGAGTTTCCTGCTGCCTGTGGCTCCAGCCACCTTTTTGTACCTCTGGTCAGTGAGTTATAGTCCACTTAAAACAAATGCACATTTGCATGTATGAATTTCTTACATCCTTTCCCAGCAGTCGAGCAAGCTTAGATAGAGCCACACTGTCACTGGCACGCTAACCCTTGCTTCTACCATCATGCAGAAACTTGCTTAGCTGTCTGTCTATCCACGGACCTGTTGTGTCTGCAGAGATTTTTCCTGTCTTTTACTTACTTCTTCATGATTTAAATTAGGACTGAGACAATTGGAGATCATTGAAATCCACTGTATCTTTAAAATAAAGGAAGAGGTATATGCCAACTTTCATTTCTTCAGAAATGAATTTAAGAAGCTATTTTCATTTGGAGCTACTTTCCCAGAGAAGTGACTGACAAATTCATATATTTTAAATTTAAAAAAATAAATGTGACTGTGTGTGTGTGTGTGTGTGTGTGTGTGTGTGTGTGTGTACAAAATAAATATGTACCACTACTTTCCTTAACTCTTTCCCACTTTTCTCTTTAACAGTGTATAGTTGCCCCAGTCTTAAAACTTGGCAGTGTGGCTTGAGAACGTTATTTTACTGCTGTTCTTGCACATGATATCTGCCTGGGCTTACCAACTCTTTTTAAAGGAATTGTCTTGAAGCATTTAAGCTGGGCCTTTCTTAGTATTTTCAAATTGCTCTTCAAAAAAGAAAAAAAAATTATGACCCTTCATGCTGTAGAATACTATATTGACAATTAAAACTGTGTTTTCATTACCAGAAAAAAAGGGGGGGGAAATTCAACATCTCTCTTGTTTGGTGTATCATCTGGTAAATCTGAATTATTTCAAAACAATCACGTGTTTGCAACTCTTAAAATCAATGCTGCATGTTTATACACAGGAGTTTGGTTTTCAGTTAAAAACATAGGTAAGACCAAAAAAAGGCAAGAGCTGTTAGGTACTGAAACTTCCTGAATGATTAAGTGTCCTGTGATTTTTTTTTCAACACTGGAGTAAAGATTGATTTTGAGGGCTTTTGAGAATTGATTTTTTTGGCTAACAGTCTGTTTTTGATCACTTTGAATTTTATGAGTTAGAGTATTTTTTTTCCCAGATTGTCTCATTTCAGTCTTTCTCTTCTTTGTTTCAAACCTCGTATATAGTCTCATTTCTTTTTGAGATGTAATGAAAATAGGAGTTATTTTCAGCAACTGTTTATTATTTTCTGCTTTTCAGATAGTGGCTATAAAAGTAAAAACAAGAGGAGTAACATTTCAAAATGTGACATGGTGAGAATCTTAAAAGAGGAGTTGGCTAACATTTAGTAGTACCTTTTCACTGGTTTCTATCTTGGAACATGATTTGATAAATAACTTACTTTTCTGTATTTCTATAAATGTTTAAAATGAGCATCAAGGCATAATCATTTACACAACAATTATTTTCTTGTCTCTTAGAATCTTTCTCTCACAATGCGAGTGGTTTAAAGAGGAAAACTTAAGAATAAATATTTTTGATTTTGTTAGCACTCACTGGAATGATACAATTTGTATTGAATCCATTCAGTGAGAGCATTGGCTAATCTGTCTGAATCACTAAAACCAACAGCAGCAATTCCTAAAATAGTATTAAGAATTTTTTTGGGATAAAAGTGTGCATGCTACTAAATTATCAATACATTGAAGAGAGTAACTTCAACCAGCACATGTTTTATTTTTTATTATCATATTTTTGTTGTACTGGGGGTCACAATGGTAAATGTCATGATGGTGACATTTACAAAAGTTCCTACAATATAGCATAGTTGAATTCACCTCCTCCATCATTCTCCTTTACCCCCCAACCTGGAAAAGTTTCAACAGATTTCATTTTCCCATTTTCATACATGAGTACATAATATTTCTACCATATTTACCCTCCTATACCCTTTCCTTATATCCTCCCCCTCCCACTGGTAACAACACCCAGACAGGAC